TGTCTCATTTAGTTACAAATGAAATTACTGCCCAGGCTATTCCTCTCCTCTCTTCAGGAGGTGGACCTCAGATGTTTCTACATTCCAGCTTCACCCATATAAAAGAGGACCTGCAGCTAGCAAATGATGGAGCAAAAGAATGGCAAGAACCTGAGTCCCTGAGTTGAGCCATGAAGCAGAGCCGCCATCAACCCGAACTGCTCAACTTGGAATGGTTAAATGAGAGAGAAATAAATGTCTATGTTCTTTCCGAAACCCCCTATCTGTTGAGTTCATCCAACTCGGTGGCCCTAGATGACAGAGTAGAACTGCCCTGCTGGGTTTCCAAGGCTATAATCTTTATGGAAGCAGACTGCCACATCTTTCTCCCATAAAATAGCTGGCGGGTTCAAACTGCCAACCTTTCATTTAGTAGCTATGTGCTTAACTACTGTGCCACTAGGACTCCATTTAATGTCCTTTAAGTCTCTGTATTTTTTTTTTCCTCTCTCTGTTAAAGCAGCTTTATCGTACTAATACGTATAACACTGGTTCTCTTAAAAAGGAAATCAGTTAACTAAGTCCCTGGGTGGTACAAATAGTTAAGCACACTGCTGTTAACCAAAGGATAGTGGTTCCAACCCACCCAGAGACACTGTAGAGGACTGGAGGTTTGAGTCCACTTGGAGGCACCTTGCAGGAAAAGCCTAGTGATTTCCTTCTGAAAGACCAGCCACTGGAAACCATATAGAGCACTTCTGATCTGACGCACTTGGGGTTGTCATGAGTTGAAATCAACTCAATGACAGCTGTTTTTGCATATATATAGATGTATGTGTGTGCATATACATATATATATGTATGCACATATATGTATGTGTGTGTATGTGTATATATATGTATTTGCGGCCAGAAGAATGAACAAATCTGCCTGGGAAGAAGTACAGCCAGAATGCTCCTTGGAGACAAGGATGGTGATACTTTGTCTCTCATACTTTGGACACATAATCGGGAGGGACCAGATCTGGAGAAGGACATCATGCTTGATAATATACAAGGTCAGTGAAAAAGAGGAAGACCCTTGTGGTATAGTAAATTACTTTGTGTGGCTTTTCTATCCATAAGTCTTTGTAAACTCCAAGGTGGGATTTTCTATGAGCAAGTGAGGAGCTCCTGATTGCTGAAGTTGTCCACCTGGAGTATTTCTGTTGGGAGTGGCACAAAACAATGTTCTGGGAGGTGCCCACTCTCTCTCAGGTGCTTAGAGTTCTGATGCTATAATTGGCTAGTTTGACCACCCTGCCAGGCTCAAAAGGAGGCCTCCTGGAAGCAGAACTCTCTCTGACTGCTGGTTGAGGAAGATGTGCTGCCGAAAGAGACACGCACCCCTGAAAGAGACACGTGCTGCTGGGAAAGAGCCGCAAGAGACACGCATCGCTGAGTGAGACACCGAGGGACCAGCACTGCTGGGAAAGAGACTGTGAGAGACTCTTGGCTGAGGGACGGTGGGCTGGGAGAGAGACTGAGCGTTCTTCCTGGACTTGAGTTGTAGCCTGGTGCTTCCCTAATAAACCCTGTAATCTGTGAGTTCTGTGTGGCCACTGCAGCGAATTATCGAACCCAGGAGAGAGGTGGTGGGTGCTTTGGGAGGAACGGTTGGTGAAAGGGCTGGAGGGAGGCAGCATGTTTGGCCTTGCAGTGATAGGCCTTGGGTTACTGCTGGTAGTCCTGTCTTCCTCTTGTGAGATTAGAGGAGGTCAGAACATGTGGCCTCCTTGCCGTTTTTGCAACCCTCCATGAGATAGACTGACACAGTAGCTGCAACAATGGACTCAGGATACCAACCATTGTGAGGATGGTACAGCACCGGGCAGTGTTTCATTCTGCTGTACATAGGGTTGCTATGAGTCAGAACTAACTCAATGGCCCCTGACAACAACAACAACCCAAACCCAAATTCACTGCGAATTCCAACTCGTAGCCACCTTTTAGGACACAGCAGAACTCTCCCATAGGGTTTCCAAAGCCGCACATCTTTATGGAAGCAGACTGCCTCACCTTTCTCCCATGGAGTTGCTGGAGTTTGAACCACTGACCTGTTGGTTAGTAGCTGAATGCTTGAGCCATTATACCACCAGAGCTCCTTACAATAGCAACAACACACACACGGTTGAATAAAATACAAATGGCTATATTTTTGCACTGGAAAAAAGGAGTAAAATTTATTTCTCCCAGGTATGACTAGTGTTAAACTGTCAAAGGGTTATAGGTTATTTCTCTGGCATCTACTATTTTGTGTGACTTCAGACCACCATTTAATCAGTCTGCTATTAGAGCAGTCCTTCAGGCGTGCCACTTCTCAAAGATGTTGATTTTTGTTGGATTGCTGTTTGGGAAATTTATGGGCAGAGCATCAGCCTGGGCCTTAGAAGAAAGGCTCCAGAGAAGTATTCCTATCACTGCTCAGATGTAACCAGCTCCTCAGTCTCACTTGAGATGTTCAGCGCCTCTCCTGAGGATTCCTTCCTAAATTGAAAAAGCCAGCACAATAGTTATTGCTATGCCAGTCTCCCAGGAGACTTAGAGCTTATCTAACCATTTTCCTAAGAGTCACAAGTAAGACAGCAAATGGGGATTATCATTATCAGCAAATGAGGAAGAAACTGAGGCACTCAGGCGGTGCCACCATGAGTCACTGGAAGCTGCAGGCAGGACACCTGGTCCTCCAAGGAGATAAAATATACTGTGAAAACACAAGTCTTCAGCCTCATACATATGCTATGTGCACCCCTGGTTTGCTTTGCCTTCTTGTTCCTAGTTGGAAGAAAGGAAATTTGATGCACTGAATTTGACAGCTACATTACTCAAGCATTTCCATGTGATAACATTTCTTCAGCACAGAGAATGGACAGGTTCTGAGCTACAATGCTTTTAAAACAGGGGATAACCTGTGGGTAGGTAAACAGGAATACACCCAAGACCAAGGATGGATTTGGCTGAAGACAGTGTTACACGTGTACTTGTGCTACAAAATTATCCACGTACATTAGAGAAGTAACAGAGAACGAGGTTGGAGTAGCTTCTCAGAGACAACCCAACACCTTGAGGGAGAGAATCACTGGCCTGTGGGCTTAGGACCATAGTCTCGGGGGGACATCATGCTCAGTTGGCACAACATAGTACATAAAAGTCTTATTCTACATCCTACTTTGCTGAGTGGGGTCTTAAAAGCTTTTTATGTGGCCATCTAAAATGCAACTATTAGTCTCTTCTCCTTTGGAGCAAAGAAGTGTGAAGAAAATCAAAGTCATTTGGAAACAATTAGTCCAACAATAAGATGGACCATGAGAACTTTAGCCTTCACGACCCCAAGACCAGAAGAACTAGATGGTGCCTGGCTACCAATGCCAACCACTTAGAAAGGGATCAGAATTGCAGATCCTGGATAGAGCATGAGGAAAAATGTGAAACAAAATTCAAAAACACAAAAATGGCCAGAATTACTGATTGGACAGAGATTGGTGGAACTCCTGAGATTACGGCCCCAGGTGATCCTTTGGGCCTAAAACTGGACTCATTTCCATGGATTAGCACTCAGCCAAACAGTAGAAAGACCTACAAGCAGAACACCTACCCGAGGGTGACACACCCCTTAGATCAATCAGCCAGGAGACAGGAGAAGGGCAGCACTCACATAGAGGGCAAGCTGGACAGACAGGAATGCACAGATAAGAAGGGCACAGGGAGGGGGGGAGTCAAGGGGAGGAGAGGGGAGGAGAGCTCTAAATAAAAACAAGAGAGAACCTGGTACCTGTAAATGACAGCAAACAACATGGAGACAGGAACCTGCTGTTTTGTGGGCTGGACATCTCTGGGCAAAGTGTGGCCACTGTTCTGTGCTTCCTCTGTAACTCAAGAATGAGAATGTTAGATCCCAAGCATTTCCCAGCTCCCTCAGCCACCGTGACCTTACTCTCTAGCAGGGGTTGGGAAGCAAGGAGAAAGGAAAGGAGGCTACCAGGAAAGTCAAATCATCCCTGGAAGTTACATCCCCAAAGATGTCCTGGCCTAAAAATTTAGACAACTCCATAAACAAGGTGGTAGCAGGTGTTCCTTCACAGCCCTTTGAGCAATCAAATATTTCAGACTTTGCATGGGCAGCCAGGAAGCACACAGTCGGCTTCCTACTGCAAACTGAAGACAAAAGGATTGGGTTGCACTTCTGTTCTAGACTACTCAGATGGGCCTGAATTAACGCTTGCTCTGGTGGCCTAGTAACTAAGGCATTTGACTGCTAACCAGAAGGCTGGTGGTTCAAACCTACCAGCCACTCCTTGCAAGAAAGGTTGGGCACAATCTACATCCCTAGTGATACCCCCTTGGACAGCAGTGAGTTTGGTTTTTTAGGGAAGTGCAGAGGCCCTCGTGGAGGATCAGTCCTCCTAGATGGAGATGGAGGGATCTCGTGGAAGGAAAACCAAGGCTGTGTGCAGAAGTTCCCTTGACTGCTCTCCCGCTGCGACTTTAAAGCAGGTGAGGGTACCACAAAGCCAAAACTAAACCCATTGCCATGGAGTGGATTCTGATTCATAGCGACCCTATAGTGCAGAGTAGAAATGCCCCACAGGGTTTCCAAGGCTGTAAATCTATAGGAAACAGAGCACCTCATCATTCTGTGGAGTGGCTGATGGGTTCCAACCCTTGATCTTTCGATTAGCTGCAGAGTACTTCACCACTACACCACCAGGGCTCCCTAACAGACGTTAGATCCTCATCTCAACCCTTCAGCACAGGTTTCCTTCAGGTCTAAAGGCCTGAACGTTCTAGTTCTGCCTTCCCAGTGTCATTAAACAGAAGCAAGGCGGAGAAAAGGCGTAGGAGAGGAGTATCTTTCTCAATACAGAAAACAAACAGAAGCGCTTTTCCTCCCCAACCTAAAACGGTTCCCCAGTTGCCACATCACCAGGGCAGGGGCAGGACGCGCAGGGTGACGCAGGGCCCACTTTGAGCTTCTGCGGTCCATGAGCAAGGTCGAGGGAGTTCGGTCAACGTCTGGGGAGACTGCATCACGCCAAATTTGGAAGGAATTTAGGAATATTCGTTAGGCTACTTGCTGGGGACTGGCTGCGCAGGAGCGGGCAAGGAACCCATAGGGACTGGGTGCGAGGAGCTGGGGGGAAACCCGAGGTCACCTTCGGCTCAAGAGTGAAAGGAAAGTCCACGCCCCGCCCGTCGGCCCAGCGCAAGCTCCTACACGCTCTGCCAGTCCCCAGAAAGCTGCACGTCGGCGCTAGGCCGGAGGAATCAGGGGCGTGGCTGAGGCCTGGGGCGCGGTGGCGACACCTGTACCCCTCCGCCGGCTCAGGGCGG